AGATTATGAGAATAAAACAATTGTATAGACAGCAATGAGTTGGTGCTTTAGCAATGCAATATTATTTCTATTTTGTATATGAGTAAAATGAGCAGTCCTCCAAAAGTAATAGTAGGGAGGGGATTAATTATTTTTTCACAATTATTATGAGGGACTGAGTACCTTTCTCATACTCTTACAAGGAAAACACAATCCTCTTCATGAGCAAATGTTTAATTGGAACCTGCAAGCAACCTTCTCAAGACATTTTAAGTTAAAATTTGTTTTTTTGAGGTTTTAGTCTTTACTGGAATCATTGAATTGCTGTATAAAACAAATTACACAAAAGGAGTTACTTTAGGAATATGGTTGTGATCTGCTGACACAAGTTTCTTTTATGAGCATAAAACAATGGTACAGACAGCAGTGACTTGTCTCGCAGTGCTTTAGCAACGCAATATTATTTCTTTTTTATAAATGAGTAAAATGAGACAGAGCTCAGTGACTCCAGTGACCCACAGGAAGTCAGTGACACAACCAGGAATAGAAGCAAGACCTCTCAGCAGCTCAGTCCCATGCTTTAACCACAACCCAGCCACCTCCTTCCCATCTCAGATTAGCACAACCCTGAGCCTTGGTTGCATCAGCTCCTCACTTCAGATGTCTAAGCATGTATAATTGTAGAAATCTGGATTTCTGAAGTTAAGTTACCTTCATAAATCTGTCTCAGCTCAATCACCCAAGAAATTCGGATAAACTGGTTTTAAATGAGGCTCAAAACAACCTTTTGGTTGCTTGAAAAGGATTCCTTCAGAAATGAATTTCGGATGGATTAACACACCAGTTTGTGCTTGAGCTCCTTATTCCTACATTTTCTTTTGCCTGCCAACTGTCTGTGATGTGCAATTTGGGCCAATTTAATCAGAATGGGACTGGAACAGCAATATCATATCCCACTACAGAAAAGCCAGACAGTCCTAGAGAGGAAGTTATTCCCAGGTGAAATCAGAGAAGTTAAGAGTTGGAGGGAGACTGAAGGTCAGGAAAAAACCCATTACAATTTAGAGGTAGGCAGGTTGGTGTGATCTTGGCTTTAGAGAATGCTTTGGACTTTGTTCTCTTTTTATCCAAGCCTCGAAGTTCAGGCAAAGGAGGCTCATTTTTAAGGGGTTCTTGTTTTGACCCGCTCTGCAGTTATCTGTGGAAAATCTGCACCGTGCCTGCTTCTACTATCCCTCCTGCTGGAACCCAGGAGAAATTCACCCAGCACACCCCTCTGCTCAAGGAATGCAGTTTATGCCCCAGCTTTTGCCATATATCTGTGTAAAATGCCACTGATAGCAGCTGAAACTTTGAATTCCCTTCAAGTGAAGAGTGTGCAAGCTGCAGATAGGAGTGTGCTGTGATATTATGACTTACTTTTTAAAAACATGCCTTCCCAGACCAAAAACTGCCAGTTAAGACAGAATGAGATATGCTGAGGCAAATAAGATATGCTTTTTATCAATAAAAGGACACCAGATATATGAATTAAAATATTGCATTACCCAAGAGACAGAACAGGGGGTAACTTTTTAAAAAGGCAGCAATACAGGACATTTTTAACTTATTTCAACTCCATTCCTTTAAAGCAATGCAATTTGCACAATCAGGACTTGCTGCTGAGGCTGTCAGATTTCTGGCTGCACTCTCAGAGCAGGAGATTGCCCTCTAGATGTTAAAAGTTTGGCTACTTCTCCATTCTGTCCCACAGCACCAGGATGGGACACACTGCTTCAGGGGTGATTTTGAACTTGAGAAATGCACCCAGAGACTGAGCACACATCCAGGGGAAACATAAAAAGTCAGTAAAATGTGGAATTTGTGTCTTTGCAGAGATGGGAAGGGGTAGAAATCCTTGCAAGGTTGCCAGCGTGTTCAAGCCAATTGTAAAAATCACAGCATCACCTCCAATAAATTAGTTTTTCTAACCATAAATGCCTACCTGGAATTCCTCAGGAACTGTTGCACAGAAATTTCTTCACCAAGATGGGAAAGAGAAATGAAACCACTCAGGGGAGGTTATTTTGTCATTGCTAACACCCTGATCCATCTGGAGATTCCACAAAGTCCTCATTTCAGGTTCTCATCTCAGTGAGAACTATTTTTGCCATATGATTCAACTCAATCTACTTCAAATTTTCTGAATAACTGAAACTGTAATGTACAGTCAGTCAGTAATAACTGCAAGCAGAAATAATTTTTTTTTCAGATGCAATAAATGCTTCAAAAAGACCCACCACGAAAAATGAGCTGATTAAAGTTAGTTTAAAATGCAATTCTTTCGCATGAAAAGAATTAACTAATGCTTTTATAACCAATAAGAAAAAGAGAGTATAATTGATCTTGTGTGAAGGAAAATTATCTTCTAATTTTAAAACCAGAACTGATGCTGAGAGAGTCTTTTCTGCTTGTCTTTGAACTTAGGGGAGAACTGCCCATGGTTCAGCAAGGCCTGAGCCTGACATCTCATTCTTGTTTCATAACTCTTGGAGCTCCCAGCCAAACTTAGGAATCCTCTCAGATAAGCAGGGGAGAAAGTCTGGATCATCAAAAACTGCAGTCAAACAATGCAAACAAAAACTTACGAGAAACTGATAAATGTCTTTATTATGACCATTTCATTACTGCATAAAGCAACATGATTACAGAATAGATAATACATTTGTAGTCTGTTTTATTTCTTTACCAATACAGAAATTATTGTCTTTTTCTGAAAAAAAACCACTCTTTGTTAAGGAAAAAAAAAAAAGAGATTAATTCAAATTATAAATAAGGCATAATTTTTAATTACCAGAGAAAATGTATGGGCTCTTCATCTCTTCATTCTTCAAATTAACTGTCCAAAAGAAACATTTAATAAAATATCAAATCCTACCTAAAAATCCATGTTAAGCAGGAAATCAGATTACGTAATCTTTTCCTTTCCTGTCTCAATCTGCTAAAATGCATAAAATTTACAAAATCTAAGAAATTTTTACATAAGTTATCATTCTGTTTTACTTTATATTTTATGAGTTCTGTTCAAAAGATGAACTGAAGAAAATAATGTTTAGAACAGAAATAGACTGGCAGTGTATTTGGAATATTCCTGTGAAAGCTGTGTTTGGCTGATTTCTCCGGACTGACAGAGATATCTGTCTCACCCCTGCAATTTAATTAAAATCCAAACTGTGCTTTGTATTTCTGCCTTTATTAAAAGCCCGGGCTCAAAGCAGGACTGCACAGTCCCCACTGGATGTTATCAATACCTGCCAATTTTTGGAATGCTTCCAGTTGCATGGAGTTTGAAAGAGTTTGCAGGTTAAAACCTTGATTTTGGGGAGGGATCCCCTTTTTTCAGACACTTAAACTAAATGGGGAATTCTCCAGCAGCAGAGCAGCAGTTCTGCTCTCAGCAGGGCTAAATCAGAACTCTCTGAGGGTCCAGCACAGATCCTTCTCCTTTTAATTTTCTACTGAAACTCTTCCTCAGCTATTGCTGTAAAGTGGTAGAAATATTAATAACCAAGGTATTTAAAACCTCTTTGTTAAGATTGCTTTGCCCACATTTGCCTCTTTGTTCATCCATGGTAATTCTGAGGGTTTGTTTTACTTGTTTTCAGGACCTGGCTTCTAATTCTGAGCCAGGGTATTACTGGAATAGGTTATTACTGCAGTATGTTAAAATAATTTCTAAAATACCCAACCCAAACAATAAAAAAGAACCACTGAAAAAAATATTTCCACATTTCCAAGGCTAAAAAAATTCAGATGAAAGGGAAAAAGCAGGAATTGAAAAAAAAAAATCCTTGATCTGTCAAGGCAGAGGTAACACCTCAAGCCTATACAAATAGACAGATAATTCTCATAAAAATTAACACAAGGCTTCAAGCCTCTGCAGACAGAGAGATTGTTCTCATAAACAAAAGGCTGGAGGCAAAGTTAGTATCTGTAGGTAGTCCAGGTATTTTGACGTGTTCAACCCTAATCTATAAATTGCCTTCAGTATACAAATAATAAAGCAAATGTGGGCTCTCTTTCAAAACGCTGATGACTAAGAGCCATAATGAGGCAAATTTGGGATCCTCTCAACCTTCCAGTGATGTCCAAGGGATCAGGAGTTTTTCAAGATAAACTGTTGTATCCCGGGGCACCTCGAGTTCCAGGATGACTCTCTAAAGCCTGTTGATCTTATGCCTTTTTTTCCACATCTGACTTCTTTTTCAAAGCCTCAGAGGCTGAGATAGAGGAGGTGACAGGCTTGTTGGGGCTTGCTGCCTCTGGAGAGGTACCGAGCACAGCCTATACCGCTCGGCTCTGCATTCCTGGCAGGGGGGGAAGAGCGCCCAGAGATAATCTCAAAAAAAAAAAAAAAAAAAAAAAGGGGAAAAAAAAAAAGTGAAAAAGAATTTGCTTTACCTCCGTTACTGCTAAGAACCTTGTCAGAAAAGCCTTTACTCCTGTCACAGCAGGACACAGCCCGACGTGAGGCGACCCAGCCAAACCACCCAGCGCAGAGCGGAGCCGGCTGCCGAATGGCAAGGCAAAAGAGAAAGCAGCCGGCAGGCGGAAAAGTGAATTTTCAGTTACGGGAGATTACAGGGAGCAGAGATCAAACTCCAGCTGCGCTGCGGGGCCGCGCTCTGCCCTCGGCTACACGCGGCTGATTCCGCTGCGCGGCCCGGCCAGGCCGGGCTGCACGGACGGCCCGAGGGGACAGCGAGGAAGGAGCCGCGCCTCCTCCTCCTCGTCCTCCTCACTGCCCGCTGCCTCTCCCGTCCCGCTCTTCTTCGCCATCCCTGTGGCCGCCCCCGGTCCCCATCCCCATCCCCGACCCTGTCCCTGTTGCCATCCCCAGCCCCGTCCCCGTCCCCGGCCCGGCCCGGCCCCGCTCGCTGCCAGCCCCGCTCGCCGTGGGCCGGCGGAGGCGGCGCCGGGGGGAGGCGGGCCCTGCCCGGGAGGCCGGGCCGAGCGGGGGAGTTTATCCCGCTGGAAGGGAACGGCTTCTCCCGCTGAGAACTGACAGCGCCGGCTCCGTGCGGCTGCGGGGACCGTCCCCGAGGTGAGGGGCGGCGGGGGCAGCGCGGGGCTGAGGGGCCGCGGGGCTGAGGGCTCCGCGGGCTGTGCGGACCTGGCCGCGGGGCAGCGGGGGCTGCGGGGGCTCGGGGCGGGCGGAGCCGCGGAGCCGCGGGCGGGATGCGGTGCCCGGAGCGCCCCGGCCGCGCTCCAGGTGCGGTGCCGGCGCTCCGGCCGGGGCAGCCCGGGCGCTGTGTCCATGGTGCTGCAGCGGGGCCCGGCACACCGGCAGCGGGGGATGCTCGGGGCCGCAGGGGCGATGTCCCGCCCTGCTGGGGTGGAGGAGGTGATGACGGGCACGGATGGATGGATGGATGGATGGATCCGCTGCGCGCCGTCCATCCCAGCCGCCCGTGGGGAAAGCACCGCCAGGGCAGTGCTGGGCTCACCTGGCTGCTCTCGTAATGAATGAACTGCTCTTTTTTTTTTTTTTTTTTTTTTTTCCCCTTCAATTTCCCAATCGCAGAAAGTCGGGGAGCCTCTCACAGCCTGCAACAACTGAGATGCTATGTTGAAATATATTGTGTCTTGATGGCATGCCCCAGGTTCGCAGGAGCGTTTTGTAATCTTCCTGGTGTCATTTCTCCCCAGGGTATTCTGCAGCTAGAGAGTGCAAGTTCCTGTGGTGTTGTAACTTTGTGGCCCTGTGTACACACGACAATACTATGCTGACTTAACAGGGATGCGTTTATTAATATCAGTGATGTAAGGCTGGTATTTATTGTGATCAAAAGCTCAGGGAATTATCAATTTCTATATGTCCTGTGGAGTTTAAGTTCCTTTAAATCAGATGGATCAGTTGAAATTCTCCTTGAAATAACCTGGGATTTGGATTTGTATTTGTGACTTGCTGCCCCATCTGTGAGCAAGCTTTTGCTGTAGAACACTGTTATAATGTTCCATTTAAAAATATCTATTTTCTGGTAGCAATTAGTCTATCATTTAATAAGTAAGTTACCTTTTAAAAGGTTACTATGATTTGTTACTAGTTAACCAAAAATTCCCAGTGTACACCCAGCAATTGTGACATATGATACTGAGCACTCTCCTTTGAAAAGGAGTTTCATATGGTGTGCTCTCGTTAATATCAGAACTTGGTGCATCAAGTGATGTGCTTGACATCATTATTCACTTTGGCTGTCACAAAAAAAAATTGCTGCAAAAATTGCTCAGAGATTTAATTATGAGATTACAAGAAATCACTCCTAGCAGTGTGTTAAGGCATGTGGCACAATATAAGCATGGGCTTGTCAAGGGGAGAGAGAGCTGAAAAAAAAAAAGTTGGCACTGACTTTGAATGATAACCAATCAGAAATATAATATATAAAGGTATTTTTACACAGACAGCTCTTGAGTTTGGATGTTTTTAGGCATCAGTTTTGTAAAATATCTCTCTAACTTGTGGGGGTTCAGAGATTCTGTACTTCTAAGCAGCCTTAAGATGGTCTGTGTTTCTTAGAAATGCCAAATTCCTGAATAATACACTGTATTTAACATCAGCATTCAATTATAATACAGAATATACAATTAAAACAATTAATATTCATTAATAGTTTTCCTGATAAGAATTTGTGTTTCATGTAACGAATTTGAAATGAAGGCGGTGAAATATTAGAATTTAATTGAAGGATATCGAAGGTATGCCTCTTAACCTTCCTTGTGGGACTGATAAATGCACCCCTTATCAACAGCGCTTCTGAATCTGACTCTTTTGTGGACTTTTTTAAATAACCGTAAGTCCATTTCTAAGTCAGTAAAATACATTTAGGCACTGTTTCAATTACTTTTAGTGTAATTTCCTCCTTATAGCAATGGCTAATAAATTGAATTTTGAAAACGATTTTATTGTAAAAACAAGAAAAAAATAAAAGTGGAATGAAAACCACTGTCTTGTACAAAGCTGGACCAAATAATGAAAAGTGAACTTAATGCTTTTTTTCACCTTGATTGGTGAGGCCCTCTTCAGGCCCTTTTTTTTTTTAGTGTGATCTGCTCAGAGTGGAGTTGAATATCTTTCCTAGCCCTTTTTAGTAGCCTAATTGTGAATCACTAATTGTGCCTGTTTGATATTCAGAATCTGAGTTTCTTTTACAAGCTTTTTCACGAGGATTATTCCCATGTCCTTCTCTGTCACGCAGTAAAAGTTTCCAGTGCAGTTACTCAAGAGGAATCATCCTACAATTACAAATTCTCCATGAGTCTTTTGAAGTCATGGATACAATACTTTCCATTAGTTATTGCCACTAGTTTCATTTTTTAATCACTAATAGGTTTGTTAAATCCAGCATGATATCGGGTGATAAGTGCTAGTTATTTCACTCTGTATTTCCATAATGGTGTCTCGTTTTTTAACAGCAGGATCTAGTTTTCAGGTACTTTATGCCAAATGTTCTTTGTGTGTCAGTTCACTTTTTGTGAACTAACAAGAGGAAGAGGTAGAGACAATCCAAAGCAAGAGAACATTGATGTGCTCAAGTCCATACTCCTCATGCCACAGACAGAATTTGGGGGTTCCCAATAACAGGTCAATTTAAAGGACTTCATTTACAGACTACTTGGGGAAAAAATCTCCTCCTTGCCCCCATCTTTCCCTGTGGAGGCTTTTCCAAGGCAGGATGAAAAATGGAAAAGCCGTGAGATTTGTCTTGGGATTCTCAGGAATAGGAAACATCAGTTGATTCCTACATTAAATGATAAGCCTTTTCTATTTCTTTTGTCGCTTCCCCCATCCACTTTTTATTTTCCACAAAGGGAAGAGCCCAGGGAGTTTTCCCAGTTGTGCTTTGTTTTAAATGTAGGGTAGTCCGCCTTTTTCAGTGGTGCTGCTTTCAGGTTCCAGGGACAACATAGAAAATGCTGGTGGCTAAGCAAATTATCACCCTGGTACTCAGCCCTGTGGTGAGTGGGCTTGGGATACTCCCAGGTCTTGCAGGTATAAGGAAATAGGAAGGAGAAAATAAATGTGGCAACCATAGGAAACATTTAAGTTTCTACTTCAGCATCAGCTCTTCTGCTGCAGCATGCACTTCCCTCTTCCTCCTGCTACAAAGTTGTCAGCTCTTCTCACACTGCAGGGCTAATCATAATAAATCTGTCATGGAGTTGTGCCCTTTAAATTTAGAGGGGGAGAAAAAAAAATAAAGCAAGGCCTATTCTGCAGTCTTCCTATCCGGAAACTTTCGCAGAACTGAAGTCAATTTGATGATGTTCACATTTTTCTCCCACTCCACCCACACCTTCCATTATATTATTTGGCCTGTTTGCCCTCTCATAACCACTCTATAGAACTGAACTAAACAATGACATCATTCCCCAATTAAAATTCGTGATACATGAAATATAGATATTTTTAATTACCTGTGTTGCAGTGGTACCGAGCAGCCTAGTCAAGACTGGGGCCATCTTCTTACTCAAATGAAATAATTGCCCCTGTCCTCAATACTGTGTGATCTGGGACATAAGAATGCAAAGAGTTCCCCATTTGCAATGGAGAAACAATGCAGGAAGGAGACTGAGGCAAAAAATGAAATTTAAAATTTTGGTGTGTCCATTTGTGCTTACAAGAGCAAATGATGCTGACAATGGTAATAGATTCTAATCAGCATTATGACAGAAAAAGTTAGGGATTTGTGTAATAAAGCTCCAAATTTGCAGCAAAAAAACCACCTCAACTTCTAAGCAGTATCCTCCTTCTTTACTGGGCAGTTTTTAAGCTTCCCCTGGAAACAGGAGAATATCCCCCTTAGAGAGGGGAGGAGAAGGAGCCAGCTCCAGAGCCGGGCTGTGAATTTCTGGAATGGACTAGCAGGAGATGCTCTGTGGACTTGCATAAGCCACCCCCTTTCCTCATGACTAAGCAGATCTCCTCCATGCCATGCAGGCTGCACATTCAGGACAAAGTCTATGAATTCAAGTCTCTGAATCCCAAAGTCTACTCTGCTGGTTGATAATTAGCAATTTACAAAACACAAAGCTGCCGCAGCGCTGGGGATGTACGTCCAGCACTGCGTGGGTGAACATCCGTGTGGGGTTCTGGACGTGCTTATAGGGGATGTGTGTGTGTGTAGGGAAGGGATTAACCCTGTGTTGGGAATGGCTTCCTGCTAATCTCAGCAGTGCTGAAGGGCCCTGTGTAATTTCTGATAACGCAGGGTAATAAATATTAGGAAATATCCCAACAGAAAATGCACAGAACACTCCACGCTAGCAAAGGAACTTCTTGGTTTCATGGAAGATGCATAGAATCTAAAAAATAAATCAAAATGCCAGCTTCCTTGAGGTCAGTGGCGGATGTGCTGTCTCAGTAGGATCAGGTTTGCAGTGATAAAAGTTTAGTCCTCTGTACAGTTTGCTCCCTTGCAATTACTGCTGGATTCCTGCTTGGCTGTGGGTTTAGCGTGCTCAAAATTGAGGCTCCGGCTCTAAAGGAATTGCTGCTTGCTCTGTGAGACTAAATGCCTGAAATTAAATAACCATGAGTATGTATTATAGCTTAAGCTCTTCTTTTTTTTTTTTTTTTTTAAACTTGTGAGAAATGCCAGTGTAACAGGAGGAGTATATTCAGCTGCCTTTTATGTGACCAATTTCTTAACATATTTCAGCTCCAAATGAAACGCCAACATTTTGGTGCAGTTGGTGTTAGTTTATTCTAGACTTCAAATTAGGCATGGATTCTACTTTTGGTCTTCTCACAGCTATTATTATGCCATTATAAAATAGTCTACTTCGTGCTGCTTTACGGGCTGCTGGAATTTCATGAGCTCCATGGGGATTGATGTCTTTCCTCTTTATCACAGATCAGATTGTGACATATTTTAGATTCCCTTTTGCCAGAATCCTGTAATTTTTTATAGACCTCCAGCTCCAAATCTTCTAACTCACCTGTGTGTATAAAATCCGAAATATGTGATTTGCATCAGTCATACTTTCAGCTGTATGGAATATTTCTAGGATAAGGCAGAGCAGTGGAAGTTTTCTGATTGCATC